TATGTTGCTGGACTCCCATGTAGTCGACCGTGGTTTGAGTCCTGGACCCAGTGGCTTAAACTCACACTGGGCATGTGTGCATGTATGCCCAAGATTCTGAGAGGAGAATGGAGGAGAAGGGATTGTGGTGTGGCTATCCTCCCTGGGGTGGGGAGTGATTTCTCGCTTTCTGTCTCTCTGTCTCTCTCTGTCTTTCTGGTGAATGCATGTGCCCTATAGCAAAAACCTCTCAAAAAGAAAGAAAGAAAGAAGCAGGTATCCACAGACATCACATAGGGCAAAAATTAGTTAATTCCTAATGGTTTCATGGTTGGTGGGTTCTGGAAAGATATGCTCTCTTCACTCAAAGAAGGAATTGAGGACTCAGGAAATGAGTTCTTCAAGAGCATAGGAGAGCTTCCAGTCTACCAAGAAATCCTCGGAGAAAAGGCAGCCACTGGTGGTAGTGGGAAGTGATGTTGGGTTTCTAAGGTTTCTTTCTAGGCAGGTAGATTTCAGTAAAACCTTCCTATAGGGAGACAGAAAGCCTGGTTGTTGTCTTTTGGGACCATCTACCAGGCTTCTCTCAGGAGTGAGAAACTGAATCCCCACAACAATCAACAAATAGCTCTGTAGTGCCAAACTTCTCTAACTAACATTGCCCCTGGAAGAAAGCGCACCCTACTGGTATACAAGGCCCTTCCAGTTTGGCTTCAACCATCTGTTCTGAGGTATTATGGGAGCCTGATGCCTGTGAAAATGATCACCGACTCCTCACTGACTTTGAGCAAATTGCCTAACATCCCTGAATTTTATTTCCCTAATCTGCAAAATGAAGAGAGTTACAGTAACTTTATAAAACTGTTTTGAATATTAGGGGTAGCATATGCGACAGATGCTAGTACAGAACATACAGGCACATTTTCAAAACACAGTTTATGTAATTAAGTACTAATATTACCATTAACCATGGGGGGAAAAAAACCAGAAACTTAGTTATTATTTTCTTTTCTTTTTTTTTTTTTATTTTAAGAGGTTTTTGTTATAGGGCACATGCGCTTGCCAGAAAAACAGAGAGATAGAAAGCGAGAAATCACCCCCTGGGGGGATGGTCACGCCACAATCCCTCCTCCTCCATGCTCCTCTTGGGATCTTGGGCATGCACACACACGCGCCCGGCATGAGTTTAAGCCGCCAGGTCTGGGACGCAAACTGCGGTTGACTACGTGAGAGTACAGCAATATAGCCATTACGCTAACTTCTGGTCCCTTTTTTTTTTTGAGAGCAGAAACTTAGTTATTATTCTAAATGTTTGCTTCTTCCTCACTTATCCACCTATAGCCAATTTCTCTCACATCTATTCCTTTTTCCTCTCTCTCCACCTCCACTACTACAACTTTAGCATTTACACACACACACACACACACACACACACACACACACACTACCATCTTTGCTTATGCTGCACTCTCTGACTAGATTGTCATTCCTGATCATTTCTACCTCATTCACTGTGACTCAACCTGAAGCTTTTGCTAGGTATCACCTCCTCCAGGGTTAGGTGCCCTTCTCTGCCTTCTATGTAGCATACCAGAGCTGTCAGTTTTGTCATCAGAACATATATCACACTCAGTTTTATATTCATCTGCTTTTTCCTCTGTCTACCTTATTTAGCCTGAAAAATACAGTGAAGGTGAGAACTAATCAGATTAATCTCTATCTCCAACCTAAAACATTGATGAATGCTTAACACCACACATAGACCAGAAATAAGCAGTGGCAAAGCTCTTATGATGAAGTTTACATATTTTATTGTATGTAATTCTTTTTTTGGTCAGAGGGCATGTGTGTTGTCTAGAGAGAGAGAGCAAGAGTGAGAAAGAAACCCCCAGTGGGGTGTCATCATGCCACAATCCCCTCTCATCCATTTCTCCACCCTGTCAGAATTTGAGGCATGCATACACATGGTGTGTGTGTATGTGGTGTGTGTGTGTGTGTGTGTGTGTGTGTTTAAAAGGTTTTTGCCTTAGGGCGCATGTGGGAGAGAAACAGACAGACACAGTGAGAGGGAAAGTGAGAAATCATTCCCTGGGGGAATGGCCATGCTGCAATACCTTCTCTTCCATTCTCCTCCCAGGATCTTGGGCACATACACAAAACATGCACCTGGTGTGATTTTCAAGCCACCAGGTCCAGAACTCAAACTATGATCAGCCATGTGGGAGTTCAACAGCACAACTGCTTCTCCACCTACAGGCCCTCTGGCGTGTTTTTGAAGCCACTGGGGTTGAATTCCAACTATAATTGGCCATGTGGGATGCAGTTCCCATTAACCACGAGGCCACAGAGCTAGCCCCATTGCATGTATTTTACAGCAAATGTATGTGATAGGTAGAACAATGCTTGTGCCAAGCCAGAGTGACTCCATCTTGAATATTAAGTTACCATGCTGAATGTTGTATTGTCCCATTTAGCTTGGCTGCATGCCAGTACTAGTCAGACTTGTTCCCAGATCACAGTCTGGTAAATATAACTAACTTGTACTTCAAAGTAGTATTTTCATACCATCAATCATAACACAAAGCCCCATGTGCACATACCAGAACCCATGATCTGCACAAATTACTATTCCTGCTTGTAAGTATAGTGAACTTCCCCATGTCTAGTGCAAGAATTGTATTTCTTTTTTTTTTTTTTTTGGAGAGATTTTCACTGTAGGGCGCATGCGCTCGCCAGACAGACAGAGAGAGACATAGAGACAGAAAGCGAGAAATCACCCCCCAGGGGGGATGGTCACGCCGCAATCCCTTCTCCTCCATTCTCCTCTCAGGATCTTGGGCACACACGCACACGCGCCCGGCGTGAGTTTTAAGCCACCGGGTCCGGGACACAAACCGCGGTCGAGTACGTGGGAATGCAGCAACATAGCCATTACGCTAACTGCTGGTTCCCAAGAATTATATTTCTTGATGCCTCTGAAGGCATGTTTCTCTACATAGTAAATACTGCCAGCAAGTTTGAATGTCTGCCTTTTTCTTTGGTCTTTTGGCTCCTTTGGCATTCAGAGGCCATTTCACCTTATTTGTCCTTGTATTGTAACAATGTTGTATTACACAATTCTAAATATGTATATCTATGTAAATCTACATTTATGTGCATATACATAAATGTACACACACACACACAGACACACACATGTATTTCTAGAAGTATTTGGAGCAGACAGGCAAGGTAAACTATCCACATGCAAAGTATCTATACCTGTGGTGAGGCTTATGTTGGTGTCTAACAACCATAATCTGTTGGCTTCTGCCTATGCCAATGTATCTATAATGAAGATAAGACAGCTTTCCTCTACAACTTTTGGAGAGGAAACAGCTTCCTCAAAGAGCTTATGGAAAAACCTGATCCCGAAAAGAAATTGCCACATCACCAGGGTTGGATCCTTCACTCTTCCTTCTTCCTCACCCCTTACAGTCAGTGCACCATCAAGTTACATTGATTATATCTTTGAAATACTCCATAAGTCCTTATTCATTCTATCCCCAATGTCCAACATTGGTCCAATATGGCCTCATGTATACCAGACTAATGCAGCCACATTCTTACTGGTATACATACTCATTCTGACCTACTTTCCACCTCAACTCCACACATGCCCAGAGTGGGCTATATTTTTTAAATATGAGTCATATTCAGACCACTCATTCTTGACTTAGACTAAGTCAGTGGCTTCTCATTATTGTTAGGGCAGCATCCAAATCCCTTTTCACAGATATAAGGCCCCGTGGTCTGGCTTTATTTACAATTTTATCTCCATATTCCCTCTCTCATCACCTCATTATTGCTGTCCCAGCCTCTATTTTTTTGTTTGTTTGTTTCAGTTCCCTATACATGCCATGTTCTCTTCTTATATCTGGGCCTTCATATGAGCTATGCCCCAACCCTGGAGCAAACTCATTTTCTCACCACCAGCCTATTTTGCCAGCTTCTTACTTCACCTTTAGTTTCCTCCAGGACACTTTCCATGTAAGTCCTCTACCACTAAGTCTGGTCATGAGCACCTTCACCTTCTGATCCTCCATAGTCTTTTGTACTTACTCTCTCATAAATCTTTGTCACACTGAGATGTTAAATTCCTGCTTACTATCTGCCTTTGGGATCCATGAGAGAGACTTCATCTGTTCTGGCCTGCACTGGATCCCCAAGACACAGAATTGGCACAGGGCTGTTTGTCAAGAAATGTTTGTTGAATTAATTAGGTTTCACATAAGGGCTAAAGTAGAAGAAACTGAGAAGGCAAGCTCAGACTCAAGTCTCCCCAACCTACCAGAGGATTCACCCCCTACGTCTCACCGCATCAATCTCGTTCAAGGCCTTCCACTGCTCATAAGGGACGCCCAGGGCCTCAGCTGTCTGGATGGTTCTCTTCATGTGGCTGGTCCACACCTTCAGGGAGTTGATGCCCTGGGACTGAATGAAGTTGGCCAGGGCATAGGCATACTAAAGTAGAGGTGAAGAAGAAGAGAAGAGAAGAAAAGATAAGGGGAGAGGAGAGGAGAGGAGAGGAGAGGAAGAGGAGAGGAGAGGAGAGAATAGGGAGAAGGAAGAGAAGAGAGGAGAGGCGAGGCGAGGCAAGAGAAGAGAAGAGAAAGAAGAGAAGAGAAGAGAAGAGAAGAGAAGAGAAGAGAGAGGAGAAGAGAGAAAAGAGAAGAAGAGAAGAGAAAAGAGAAGAGGAGGGGAGGGGAGGGGAGAAGAGAAGAGAGAGAAGAGGAGAGGAGAAGAAGAGAAGAGAAGAGAAGAGAAGAGAGAGGAGAAGAGAGAAAAGAGAAGGAAGAGAAGAGAAAGGGGAGAAGATGTGAGAGAGAACAGGGTAGTCACTAGAACAAACTGCAATCTGCCACAAATGGTTGGATGGTTGATGAATAAGAGCAGAGAGTTTAAATCTTCTAAACTTATAAAAACTCATATCCGTTCCTGTGTGATTAAGAGTCAAGAGAATTGCAAGTATCTTTTTGACTGTTTTTCCAGCCTTTGGGTAAATACCAAGGAGTGGGATTACTGGGTCATATGATAGTTCTATTTGTAGGTTTTTGAGGATTTCTATATTGTTTTCCACAAAGGTTGCACTAATTTACATTCCCACCAACAGTGTAAGAGGGTTTTCTTTTCACCAGTTTAACCAGCACTTGTCATTCTTTTTTTTTTTTTTTGAGCCATTATTCTAGCTAGTGTTAAATGTTATTTTCTTGTGGTTTTAACTTGCATTTTTCTTAGTGACAAGGAGACTTCAAATATTTTTTTCATATGCCTTTTGGCCATTCATTTGGTTGACAGTGAGTGGGAAGGGCAAGGGGAAGAAACATTTAACAGACAAAAGAATGTAAAGTTCTCTGTTTAAAAAAAATGTTTTGTGGGGCTAGCAGGTGGCATGGTAGCTAAGGGCACTAGACTCTCACATGGCCAACCATGGTTCGAGTCCCAGACCTGGTGGCTTGCTTTCTCACTTTCCCTCTCTGTCCTTCTCGCTCTCTCTCTATTCTTCTCTGGTCAAATTAAAATAAATAAGTAAATAAATAAAGTTAAATAAAATAATTCTTTTTAAAAAGTTTTATTTTCTTTGCATTATACAAATAAAAATTAAAAAGAAATAGTCAAAAATAGGTAAAGAGTATTTGTGTTTACTGCATCTATGCATGTGTATGTATGTGTGTTCATTGATGCTTAGTCACTGAGCCACATTCTGGGTTGCAGGCTCACCTTTAACATTTGTGGACCCCAGGACAAGAGTACAAATGGAGGACCCCATCCAGTCTACCTCCCTTCTCATTCCATTTCTAACTCAATCCTGCACTTTTAAGTGCCTTGAGTACATGTTTCTTAATAATCCAGTTACACGCCCCACTTCACCAATCCTTATGCTCCACAAACAGCAACAAATTGGCTACCCTCTGGCTATAGGATGAACACCCTGTGACATAGCCTTCCCTCAGGTGGACACACTCTGGAATAGGCCCATGTTGGTATTAGAAGCAGACTCTGAGCCTGAAGGACAAGTAACTCTAAGGATCTGGAGAACCAGAGAATGGTTTAGAACCAGGAAGTGTGGGATTAGTGAGATAGTCTTATTCAATGTTGTAAATTCCCATTGCTTAAGTTAGGTTTCTAGTACCCAGGTTCTAAGGGCATTTACATATGTATTGAGTGTGTGTGGGTGGGTCAGGACTGAGTGGCTGACAGGGCAGAAAGGCAGAAGTAACAAGAATCTGCTTCTACTTCATTACTGAGCACCCCCTACTTAGGACCCAGGCAGTGGCCAACCTACTAACCCCTGGCCCATTTAGGCTAGTTCAGCCAACCTATCTGGGTGAAGGGACCCTCCCTACCTGTTTTCCCCGAGCTGAGAGACCTGAGTCACCTCCAATGCGGCCTCTGAGGTTGAGTTCACTCTCTCCATGCCGGCATAGGTAGATGGAACGAGGTGTGACGTGGATGTTCATGAGGTAGTAGACTGTGCGGCTCTGGATGTGGTCCTGCACTCGATTCACCATGTAGCGTGTGCCCACATCGAAGATCTTGATGTAGGACAGGTGGCTGGGCCAGACCCAAGCAGGAACAAGGGAAGCTCAGGGGCTGATGGTGTCAGGGTTGATCCCAAGAGAAAGCCCCAACCATACAGCCTTCTTTTAAGCCTCCTTCACAACCGAATTCTCACCTAATAAGATACCATGGCTTGCCATGTTCTGAGTATCTGCCCTAGGGACTTGCCCTGATGCATGGACTACAATGTCTGTTGATGGAAAAATGATTAAATAAGGCTGGTCTTCTAACTTTGTCTTATTCAGGCCCAAACTGACCCATTAAATAGCAACTAAACACCTGCAGGATCCTAGACCAAGAGCTTGGGACTTTCTCAATGTAATTCTTTGACTTCAACCCTCACCCACAAGTTCCTTTCACCATGCACTGTTATCCCATATGATACATTTATGGAAGTTTGAAAAAGTCACACTTTCCTCAGGATATACGCATCCCCATTCCAACACACATCACGGTGAGAGGAACAAATATACTTTTACTGGGGAATCTGCACATTCAACAATCTGCACATTTATAGTCCATGTCCCTTGTACTGAGTGTCTAAATCTCATGTGACATTTTTTATAATATGAGAATATGAGACTGGCTGGAAGTTTAAAGATAAGGACTTGAGTATATATTCTGCTACTGACTTATTGTGTGTTCTCAGATAAGCCTTTGACCTGATCTGGGTCTCAGTTTCTCCATTTAAGGAGTGAAGCAATAATAATGTTCATCTCTCAGTACTTTGGTTGGGTAAAGTTGGAAAGGATACTCTCTAAATCTCTTAGGGTGGTGGTAGTAACCATGTGAGGCTCTTTACACTTCTCATTTGGGTCCCAAACACGTGGATAACCAAGGTCTCTTCTCATCATGACC